AGCACCTCCATAACATTCATGAATATTAATGAGTTTATTCTCACAAAACCCCTCTGAAATAGGGAGGTATCCTCAATCTACAGATTGGGAGCTGAGACAAAGAGGTCATACCAGATGGCAAAACCAGGAACTGATCTCCTGAACCCAAGTCTGGTGCCTTAACTAGAAATCCACTCTTCCTCTCAGATTAAAGGTTTAATTTTCTGAAGTGTTGAAACGTACTCAGCCCAGAAGTTCAGGTATTTAAAAGGAATTAAGGAAGACTTAAAATGTTAGAAGCTAGTCTAAAATTTTATTAGACCTCCGTAACTTAACAATGACTTTGTTCCAATGAAGAAAGCTTTTAGGTTAATGCAACAAAAACTCATTCATAGTTAAAATATGCATATTGGGGAGATTTTTGAAGCACAACTGGCAACTAGGTGCCTAATTCCCATATGTGCCTTGAAAAACATCTTAGCACTACTCGCAGCATTCCTACTTATGCCAAAGAAGTTGATGGATTAGAAGATATTTGCAAGATACAAACAACTACCTTTGTAGACATCAAAAGCTGACATCTGGGATTTCAGATATCTGCATTTTTGTCACAGACAAAAGCATTACAGGGTAGGCACTGTTTTCAGCAGTGCACTTCTGACAGTCCACAAGAGAACTCCCCCCCAACATGTTCTGTCAGAGTTTCCAAAAGCATGAGGTGCACCACCTTGGGATAGGGGCTGGAGCATACAAACAGACCTCAACTATTCCCAAATCTCAGCATTCATTTAAGAATAGGTCTGCAGCTGTTGTGCCACAGAGAAAACACGAAAACGTGACCTGAGCATAACTGAAGCAATGTCTTCCTGAGTTTGCAGACAGCCTGAAATAATAACCTCTCAGAGGTGAGCATGCTAATTATGACAGTTAACACTGTGGATATTTAAAATACTTCAAGGCTACAAGCACATAAGGAGAGAAAATGTATTATGAAGCTCTATACAATCTACTCTCAATGACTTCTCATTTTGCGTAGACTTCACTATCACATGACCAGGTTGAAAGAGATGGGGGTGAAATTGGTTTCATTTTCCTGAAAGTAGGCAGGTGGAGGACAGAGGGGAGAGACACTCAGCTAGCTTTCAAACACTATGTTAGATGGTGTGTTGGAGTGCAACACCTGCCCTACTAATCTTGGCAACTTGAACTCTTACCACTAATTTAGTTATGAGGGAACAAGTTTAGTTACCATTAAGCAAGAAGTCACCAGGCATGAATTTTTAATCTGAATTTCCATATGCACATTATTAACAAATAATATATTGTCAAGTACATTCTATCAGAACTGTTAGTTCAGTATCATTATCTATTTCCATATACAATATTTGCTCCATGAGCTGATTAACAGCATTTCTAAAAATTGAATGGATGGTTAAAAGCTAAGGTTATTATGAAAATTTACTTTGATTCAAATGTGTATATTGTTAATAGAAACTATGAAGTATTAAGGAAACAGAATATGTTTTTTCAGAACCAGACATAGCAGAAACACGACTGTAGAGATCTCAGTTTAAACTGCAACAAATGCTGCAACACAGGGGAAAATCATCTGATTCCTCTGTAGCGTTTGCCTCCAAGGACTCAGTAAAACTATAAAAGAGAATGGATTGCTATCTAATTGGATAGCGTGTGTCCATTGTGTAACTGTGCCAGCAGGGAATGCATGTGACATACAGTTACTTATTAATTAAACTGAGTCAAAGAATTAAAGTTAGAGAACATTTTAATAAGTAATGTTTTGTGACTTTAAAAGCGCTCTTCTGCAGAGACAACATCCGGCATCACACCAGGTCAGCATAAGTTATTAGAGCGATTGATTACTAGCAGGCAGTCTATTAGCTGGCAAGTATGTTTTCCATTTTCAACTGCAATAAAAATCACTTAAAGATTAGCTGTTAGCAAAATCCATAGTGTGCATTCACATTATAATAGAAATCAGGTCGGTTAAAGTTTGGGGATTTTTTGTTTTTATTTTTCTTAGTTAAATTCATTATTTTAAGAACAAGAGAGACATAGAACGTGTGTGTGTGTGTGTGTGCGCGTGTGTGTCACAAAACACATACCTACATAATATATTTGACAGTAATGTGAGATATCTGCTTGTTTCCTAAAATGTAGACGTTAGTTAAGGACTAAAACTGCTGTGTAGCTATTGGATATTTTGTGGAGGACATATAAATAAAAACAGCCGTTCCCAAAAAAATAGTAGTTTCAGTTGTTCACCTTTCATCTATATCCTGGAACAAACAACTTGGTGTGTGCGTAGTTGTAAAAATTCTCTTGTCAGGAGGAATTCTGGGTGCTAAAAGGACAGAAGGGAAAAAAAAGGGAAAATAGCTTGACAGCACTTTTCATATGCATACATTGCTTTACAGTACCTGGATCCTTCTGTCAGCATGGAATAAGTTTTAACCCACAGACAGCAGTTTTCAATGTTACTAACTTGCTCACATCCATGTGTACCCTCCTAATGACAACAGAGTGCAGTCCTGATCACCTATATATTACAGTTTATAGCAATATTTTACCTCCAAGATGAACGTATTGGATACAAAATCAAAATTGTTTTGTTTCTTGATATCTGGGGTTCACTCCTTGGGTGTGGCTGAGCTTCGCTTCACAGAGGACCCAAGAGGGTAGCGAGACCAAAGATGATGTACACTGCTTTAATATGCCACGGCCTTATCCTGGGCCTGGTTTGGCTCCCAACACAAGTGAGGATAGCCTCAAAGTTAGTATTACTTTCACCCACTTGCAATCACCTGAAGGGACCACTGTGGCATCTGGGAATTGCGAGACTGCAGCTGCACTCTGGCAATGGACCCAAAAAGTCTGGTATACTAGGGACTACAAGGTGTGCTGGTACAATGCAGATGCAGCAAAGACCAGGATCTGACCTTTGATGCTAGTGTGATTTGTGTCGAGCAGAATGGCTCTTACAAGCAGAATCAGATTCATAACATGCCTATAGAAAACATCTACCCAAGAAGACTATTTTCATTTCAGGATGGTTTATGACTTGACTCAAGCTTAACAGTCACACTTTGCAGTTCTGATGTTGCTTTTAAGACCATTGTGATTAAAATTAGAAGTATGTGACTGAAGTTATGGCAACACTATCCGGATTCATTTTGTGTTTTGCCATACTAATATTTCAGAAAAAACATCTAGGCCGGGGCGGGCAAACTTTTTGGCCTGAGGGCCATATCAAGTTTCTAAAATTGTATGGAGGACCGGTTAGGGGAGGCTGTGCCTCCCCAAACAGCCAGGCGTGGCCCGGCCCCAACCCCCTATCCGACCCCCCCTCCTTCTCGCCACCTGACGCCCCCCACCCCGGGACCCCTGCCCCATCCATCCCTTCCTGTCCCCTGACTGCCCCATCCAACCCCTCCTCTCATTCCTGACTGCGCCCCCCGACCCTCCCCGGGATCCCTGCCCCATCCAACCACCCCGTCCCCTGACCGCCCCGGAACCCCTGTCTGACTGCCCCCCCGCCGCCCCATTCAACCTCCCCCTCTCCTTCCTGACTGCCCCCCCCCGGGACCACTTCCCCCATTCAACCCCGTTCCCTGCCCTCTGACCGCCCCGACCTCTATCCACACTCCGGCTCCCCCAACCACCACCCTGAACACCCCTGCCCTCTATT